CCATTGAACATGGCCAAGTTCGGCATGGTACTACAGCTAAGATATGACGACGCATTCTGATAAGAACCAGGCCAAACACTACTCAATAAATTTAATTCTTGTGGAGGCAAAGGCAACATCTTATTTAATGATAATATAATAACAAATAATAGCCTGTTACCACAATCCATGTCGTTTGAAGGCTATTGATACTCATTGATGTTGAGACACATACAACCACAGTTGTCCCTTCCCTGTGGGCTAGTATAATTGATGGATAATTCTTTCATATATCCTAAAAAAGTTTTGTTTTTTGGATATAAAGAGAATCCAATCAAACAAGTTCAAAAAGGATGTTCAGGAGTAGCTAAACTTAAACAAAAATCGGGTAACCCTGAGGTGCCCATGTCACCCACAAATTTTGTCTGGTGGGCATGTGGATCATCCCATTCCCTGATAAAAACAGGCTACACAAAACTATCGAAGAGATTGCTTTCGACTCTGCCATCTTTTCTTTTGATGCTCCCATTCGTTATCTGTCACAAACCAACTTTGAGGAACCTTATTCCCTATTCCACATTTCACTGCAACAGTTTTATTTTGCGTGATATTTTCTTCTCGTGCAACTATTTTTAATACTGATAAAAGCAACTGCGCAACCACTCTTTGTCCTATATCTTTGATTAACTGCAAAGTGTTTAGAAAATTATGATACTGTTTAATAAACAAAGGTCGCTCCCCCAAAGTGCCTTGTAATAAAGCTAAATCTTGCCCAACAATTCGTTGCAAAAATTGATAGTGATCAAAACATATCATAGTATGATAACACTGCTCACACAACCAGTGTGTCTCGTCACATAGTCGCACTACGCGCCACTTACTAGTAAGACATGAATTACACCAAACTTTAATCCACAGCCTGCAAGCCGTGCCATGTGATATAAAACGTTCTAAAAAATCCTTTTGCTGTCTAGTGAATTTCCTAATGTTGCAGGCACTATGAAATGTGTCTAAGTCAAGTAACGCTGTTACTGCTGATACTGCATCTGGGTGAATTTTCTTCAACTAGGGGTATAGCGTCTTCTTCAGGCAATGCAACTGGCATTGATATTCAGCCGGATTGAGATTTGGAATCATCTACTGCTGGTTGTACCCACTTTGCAGGGACCCACCGAGGTCGTGCTTCTTCACCTGAAATAACACAAGGATAACCTCTTCCCCATGTAATTGAGGTCTGCGGACCTTCCCATATCCCAAGAATTGGATTAAAACCCTGTACTATTACTTTTCAATCAAAATTTGCTTTTTTGTTTTCTGTCAAATGTAATTTCACTGGGACTTCTTGTTGTTCATTTCTAATATTCATCCAATTTAAAACATACACTGTTTTGGCCACTATGTCATGGAGAGACAGTTCCCCCTGTTTTTGAAAAATAGGAAAACAGCATTTCAACATTTGGTGAGCATGTTCTACAATTCCAGTACTATTGTAAGGAATACCTATTGAATGCGATATTCCCCAGTCTTGCAAAAAAAGTTCAGTAGCTTTGCTAACATAGGCGGGACCATTATCTGTTTCTATAGATTCAGGCTTGCCTAAGGCTGCAAAAGCAAGCAACCAATGTTGTTTGACAGCCTTCAATGAGGCCGACGTATGCACAGATGCCCACAAAACATGAGAGCATGTGTCAATGGACACATGAACATAATTCAATCGACCAAAAGAATGATATTCAGTAATATCTGTCTGCCACAAAATGCACAGTTGTAAGATTTGTGGGTTTACATCCCCTTCTTAGATAGGGGTTATTCAGGCACAATAGAGACAGGAGGCTACAATAGCCCTGGCACTATTTTTTGAGATATTAAATAATTTCTGCAGTGCCTGTGCAGATTGATGATAAAACTGATGTGATTTGGTCACTTCTGTAATCAAATCTGCCATAGATTTCAATACCGGGTGGACACTGACTACCAGATCAATAAAAGCATTGCCTTTAACTAAACCTCCAGGCAGTGATGTATGGCTCTTAATGTGTGTGATGAACAGAGGATATAAATGACTTTGTAAAATATCCCACAATTCAAGCATCGCATTAAATAACTACACATTGGTGATTTTGCCTATTTAAACTCTGCATTCACTGAACGACCCCAACAACATATAACAAATCACAGATTAAATTAATAGAATGATGTTGCCACTTATACAGGGTAGCTACCACTGCTTTTAATTCTAACAATTGCACTGAAGCTTGGGCTGTTAGTGTCTCGTATTTCCATCTTGTTTCTTCTTTCTAAGCAAAACCAGCTTTGTTTGTTTTACTGCTTGCATCAGTAAATACCGAAGCCCCATCTACTGGCGTTTGCTGTACAATGGGTTCAGGTTCCAATGGCAAATGTGTCTTGAACAAAGGATTTGCTGGATAATGATTGTCAACTTGACTGTCTTGAATAGCTAATGCTAAGGATAAATTTGCCAAACATAAGTTTGGGAGGAGTTCCAAAGATAACGGTAATACGATGTAGTCAACCCTCTGTCCTGCCATTGTAAGTAATCAATTCTGTGCCTTTAGCAACATGCTTCCAAAAGCGTCATAGCGGGTAGTAAGGTGTTGGAGTCAGAGGCACAAAGAGTGTGCCCTTATCTCTGATACCTGGCTCTGACATCCAAGAAAGCACTGAATTTCATATAACATCCTGAAAACAACTGTTAAAGCTAAATAGAAAAGCTAGGAATGTAAATGTGTAAATTAGAAAGTTGCTTATGTCACTGGGTGAAAAAGTTAAAGTTTGGAGTTTAAACCAGTTTAGAGAACAGAAGACAAGATGGAGGGTTTAGGGTGTTGTCTCTTGTCCTTCTTCTTCATCTTCTTCTTCTTCTAGAGGTTTTTGGGTAGTAGTAGGTGATTGAATAGAAGATGCCGCAGTGCCGCTCACAGGTGTTGGGTCATTGGGTCACTAAGAACAGTAATTTACTTGGCATTTGTTAATTGGGTAAATGGACATACAAAAAACCTTGAAGAAAATCTTTGTTAGCCATTTTGCGCCTTTCTATCTTAGTGCACGTAGCTCCCTGTACCTTGTATACATGTAATGCTGATAAGAAAAGAATAAACAACTAAGTCCGAACAAGAGAGAAAACTGCCTCTCATCAATTTCAGTTCAAGGGGAGAAAGAACCTAACCACGAAGTCCATAGAGAGACAGTAAGGGTTCCATGCCCTTTTTGGGACAAGAAGACCCATTCCAAAATCCATAGTGGATCAATCTGTTCTGGAATCCATTGTCCTATAACGACTGCAACTTCTTTTTTTGTGTTATGCACATAAATGATAAAAGGTTGCTCAAACACCAGTCTGTAAGCACAGGTTGTACAAATTTTAACTTCAATGTTTGCTAAAGCCTTTTTTGCCTTTGGGGTCATTACTCAAGGGTCTTGTGGTTGTTGGCCGTCCTGCAACAATTCAAAAAGAGGAGTGAGGTTGGAATTAGCAATGCCACATACGTTTTGAATCCACTGAATATCTCCCACGATTTTTTGTACGTCATTAAGGCACACAATTTCTTTCGAAATCGTTAATTTCTGCAAGTGAATTTTTGAGTTAGAAACAGTCATACCGAGGTATTTCCATGGTTTTTGCTTCTGAATCTTTTCAGGGGCTATCACAAGTCCCCAAGCTTGACACGTTAATTCTTTAGTTCATCTTCCTGAATTGGCATGAACTTGCATAGTAATAAGTCATCCATATAATGATATAGAATGATGTTAGGGTGCAATTTTCTCCATGGCTCCAAAGCAAGGTCCACATACCACTGACAAATATTGGGTGAATTCTTCATCCCTTGAGGCAGTACCATCCATTGATACCTTTTTGCTGGTGCAGCACAATTTATGGTGGGCACAGTAAATGCAAATTTTTTGCAATGTTCAGAATGCAAAGGTATGGTGAAAAAAACAGTCTTTGAGATCAATTACTGTTATATTCCAGTTTTCTGGCAACATAGACGGGGAAGGCAAGCCCAGTTGCAGACTTCCCATATCTTGCATAACTGCATTCACTACTCTAAAATCTTGTAATAGATGCCACTTGCCAGATTTCTTCTGTATGGTAAAAGCAGGAGTGTTCCAAGGACTCGTGGACAACACTAAATTACCAGCTTCAAGCTGTTTGTCTATCAGTCACTGCAGATGTATGAGCTTCTCTTGTGGTAGCAACCACTGATCAACCCAAACAGGCTGATTTGTAGTCCAGGTTAATTTCAGCACAGGTTGGGCAAAGCTCGCATCAGTGGCCACTATTAAAAAGGCGTCACCAACCGACAGCCCCATTGGGAAAGAATATCTCGGCCCAGAATCTAAATGGTAGTACTGAGTACATAAGGTTTTACTGAAGCGTGCAGTCCTTCTTTGCAATCTGTAATAGCTACAAAATGTTCACTAATATGTGTTGTAGTTTGTTTATTTAATTTTGTTAAGAATATGTTAAAAAACTTGTTAGTATGTGTAATAAACAGAGACCCTTTTGTTCACCTAAACATGTAAGATATGATGCTTTGCAAAACTATGCTTTGTGTAATAGGGATGAGGTTGAAGGCTGCTACTGACGTCTGTATAATTATAAGAACAGCCTTGCAAGCTCTCTTGAATTCCAGAAAGTTAAGCCACTCAGATAAGCCTTAAAAGGAGAACAGTGAGGAAAGGTCAAAAGAGGAAGACTCCTGATCTTCATCCTGCGACCACCAGAAGGCAGAAAGCAACCACCAGTGACCGGAGGCACATGCGCAGAGACACCCGAGAAAGGACACGTAACCCGGAAGTCAGACCACTTAAAAGGGAGAACACGGAAATCGGAAGCGCGGCAGCCGAAGGAGCAGAGACTCCCCTGCCGCCCAGCGCTGATTTTTGCTTATTGCTTGCTTGCTGTAATTAAAAAATTTTTTTACCATATCACTCTCTTGAGTGCGTTCATAACAATTTGGTGCCCGTGACTCGGATGCAATCTGTAGGACAGATTCTCGGCACTACCTGGGGGGCGCCCCACTATTATTTAGCGGCCTGGCGGGGGGCCGGTTTCTGCCTCGGTTGCACCGACGAACCTAAATTTAAAGCAATAAGCAAAAGGGAGACCGGTCGACCCCTTAAAATCTGTGCACAGAGTCCGGACGAAGACGCGGGACGTGGGACACGTGAGTATAACGGGGAACCGTTCGGTCGGGGTCGGGATCCCGGAGTGCGGCGACGTGTTGTGTGTGTGAGAGGGGAACTGGCAGCCAGATTCCCCAAGTGAGAGCGGACCCTTCATTAGTGCGTCTCCCATTAGCCCGCAAGGGCATGGGCCACAAACAAGGGGAAGCGAAAGAGACTGTGTGATTTGGAAGGCACTCCGGAAGAATGGGGCAGGGGAAAAGCAAGCCCCCTGTATCTATTAAACTCCCACCGGTACCTAGAGATAGTCCGTTAGGTTATATGTTAGAAAATTGGCAGTATTTCCCGGGAACAGAAAATAAAGATAAGGCAAAAATGATTCATTATTGTGTAGAAGTATGGGGAGGAAAGGAAATTTCAAAGAAGGTATTTTGGCCTATATTTGGATCAACCGAAGATTGGGTTAGACAAAAGTTAAATTCCTGGGTAAACACAAAGATCCCCTTTAGTTCAGAGGAAAGTGCTTATGCAGAGATCTGGGTAGTAAATCCCGAGGTTTTTATATTTAAGCTGACAGAGAATTCGGAGGAGGGGAAGGGAAAGAAAAAGAAACCTCGGAAAGAAGATACTTTGATAATTCCCCCTCCCTTTGTACCACCACCTCCTCCACGGGTCCCCCCCGCTCCGAACCCCGAGGAGGAGGATTTAGACGTGCCAGATATGGGACCTGTTACCAGGAGTAGATCTAGAAAGAAACAAGAGAATCTATTCCCACTAAGGGAAATGCCAATGGGTGGTCCCCAAGCTGGAATAGGGTTTATATCTGTCCCTCTCAGTTCGGGGGATGTCAGAGAGTTCAAAAAGGAAATGGGGCATTTGCTGGAAGACCCATTGGGGGTTGCAGAAAGAGTGGATCAATTCTTAGGACCCAATATGTATACATGGGAGGAATTACAATCTATTTTAAATATTTTATTTACGGCAGAAGAGAAAAACATGATTAGAAGGGAAGGAATGCGCATTTGGGATGCTCAGCATGCCCAGGGACCACTGGCAGATGTAAAATGGCCCCTCCAAAATCCCCATTGAGATCATCAAAATCCAGCGCACAGAATACATATGCAGGATTTGAGAACTATTATAATTCAAGGAATTAGGGAAGCAGTCCCGAGGGGTCATAATATCAATAAAGCTTTTAATGAGAGACAGAAGAAAGATGAAACTCCTACAGAATGGTTAGAAAGGCTAAGAAAGAATTTTCAACTATATTCAGGAATGGATCCAGACACCCAATTGGGGCAGGCATTGCTTAAAGCACAATTTGTGGCAAAAGCCTGGGAGGATATTCGAAGGAAGATAGAAAAATTGGATGGGTGGCAAGACAGAGGTTTGGATGAGCTTTTGCGGGAGGCACAAAAAGTGCATGTTAGGAGAGAAGAGGAGGCTCAGAAGCGGCAAATTAAGATGATGATGGCTGCTGTGAAAGAAAGTAGAGATCAAACCTGGAAAGAGAAACAACAGAGACCCATCAGAGATTCAAAGGAAAGACAGAACACTAAAGTTTGTTTTTACTGTGGAAAGAAAGGACACTTTAAGAAAGAATGTAGGGTAAGAATCCAGGATGAAAAGATGTTTAAAGAAGATTAGGGGGGTCAGGGGCTCTTTATCATGGGGACCCGAGAACATCAGAAAGAGCCCTTGATAAAGTTAAAAGTGGGTCCCCAGCACCAAGAAATCACATTCTTGGTAGATACTGGAGCTGAGAGATCAACAATTCAGTTTTTACCTAAAGGATGTAGTATATCCAAAGAAACTACTATGGTAGTAGGGGCAAAGGGGGAACCCTTTGAAGTGGGGGTTATTAAAAATGTGATGATAGAATCAGAGTCAAAAATTGGGTTGGGGAATTTTTTGTTAGTACCAGAAGCAGATTATAATTTGTTGGGACGGGATTTAATTATTGAATTGGGTATACATTTAGATATAGTTGATAAAGAACTGAAGATAAAGATATGCTCCTTAAGAGTAGAAGATGAAGACAAAATAAACCCAGAAGTGTGGTATACACCTGAAAGTGTGGGACAGTTGAAGATAACCCCATTCTCGGTCACTATTAAAAACCCAGAAATCCCAGTCAGAATAAAACAATATCCCTTGTCACTTGAGGGACGAAGAGGGTTGAAACCAGAAATTGACAGATTGTTAAGTAAGAGACTATTAGAACCATGTATGTCACCTTTTAACACACCCATACTGCCAGTAAAAAAGCCAAATGAGACTTATCGTTTGGTACAAGATTTAAGAGAGATTAATAAATGCACAGTGGCACGATTCCCCGTAGTTGCAAACCTGTATACGCTACTAAGCAAGCTGGGACCTGACAGTTTGTGGTACAGTGTTATAGATTTAAAAGATGCATTTTGGGCCTGCCCTCTTGATAAAGCTAGCCGAGATTATTTAGCATTCGAATGGGAAGATCCAGACACGGGGAGGAGACAACAATTGAGATGGACAGTATTGCCCCAGGGATTCACGGAGTCCCCAAATCTGTTTGGGCAAGCGTTGGAGCAAATTTTACAGGATTATCAAACAGACCCAGGAGTGACCTTGATACAATATGTAAATGACTTGCTTTTAGCTGGGGAAGAAGAAGACGTAAGGAGAGAAAGTATTAAGTTGTTAAACTTCCTGGGTTTAAAGGGATTGAAAGTATCTAAGACAAAACTCCAATTTGTAGAAGAAGAAGTAAAATATTTAGGCCATTATCTTAGAAAAGGGGAGAAAAAGATAGACCCTGAAAGGGTACAAGGAATTTTGTCACTACCGATCCCTAAAAATAAAAGACAGATACGTCAAATTTTGGGGTTAACAGGGTACTGTAGACAGTGGATTGAAAATTATAGTAGCAAAGTTAGATTTTTATATCATAAATTGACACAAGAGGGATTAATGAAATGGAGTTTAGAAGATATAGAAAAACTCCGGGAATTACAAGAAAGTCTAATTCATGCTCCTGTCTTGAGTCTCCCAGATTTGAGAAGACCCTTTTATTTGTTTGTAAATGTGGAAAATGGAGTTGCTTTTGGAGTCCTGACTCAGGAGTGGGCAGGAAAAAAGAAGCCGATAGGATATTTATCAAAGATCTTAGACCCCGTGTGTAAAGGCTGGCCAACTTGTCTGCAAGTAGTAGCAGGATGTGCCTTATTAGTAGAGGAAGCTAGAAAAATTACCTTTAATAGCAATTTGAAGGTAATGTCCCCCCATAACATTCGAGGCGTGTTACAACAAAAGGCGGATAAGTGGATTTCAGATGCTAGACTCCTAAAATATGAAGGAATTTTAGTTGAGGCTCCAAATTTAATATTAGAGACCACTACTTTACAAAACCCGGCCACATTTTTGTATGGAGGACCCGAAGGCGAACCTTTGACACATGACTGTATAACTACAATTGAGGAACAAACCAAAATTAGACCTGACTTGGAAGAAGAGGAATTAGAAAGCGGAGAAAAGTTGTTTGTGGATGGGTCCTCCAGAGTAATAGAAGGAAGGAGGAAAACAGGCTATGCCATTGTACGAGGACCTGATTTGCAAGTCCTAGAATCAGGTCCATTAGACAAATCTTGGTCAGCCCAAGCCTGTGAATTATATGCAGTATTAAGAGCATTGAAACTACTAGAAGGAAAGGAGAGGACAATATATACAGATTCCAAATATAGTTATGGAGTAGTGCATACGTTCGGTAAATTGTGGGAGGAAAGAGGTTTAATAAACTCTCAAGGGAAAGATTTAGTCCATCAAAAACTTATAATTGCAGTATTAAAAGCCCTGAGAAGGCCCAAAAGGTTGGCAGTAGTTCATTTGAAAGGACACCAGAAGGGAATGGATTTGAGGAGTAGAGGAAATAATGCCGCCGATCACGAAGCGAAACGAGCAGCATTACGAATAATGGTCCTAAAAGAAACAGGGGGGTATGAAGAAATTTTGAAACATAAAGATAGTGACTTAAGAAGTAGATTTACTAAAGAAGAGAGGTTAAAACTCCCAGAAATGGGAGCAATAGAAAACCCAGAGGGGAGATGGTTTCTCCCAGATGGCCAGGAAGTACTACCAAAAGCCATAGCTCAAAGGATATTAGAAAAAATACATCAAAAGACACATTGGGGAGCACAGGGGTTAACAGACTATTTTGCTGCAAGGTATATGAGTACAGGTATTCGAGATTTAGCTAAGCAAATTACTAGAAGTTGCCTCCCATGTTTACAAACAAATAGGAAAAATCTCAGAAAATTACCGTATGGAGGAAGACCCCTGGCAAAAAGACCCTTTGCAAATATTCAGATTGACTTTACAGAACTACCGAAGGTAGGAAGGTTTAAATATCTCCTAGTCCTAGTAGACCACCTCACCCATTTCGTAGAAGCCTTCCCAACATCTAGGGAAACTTCACGAACAGTTGTAAAGGTGTTATTAGAAGAGATAATTCCCAGATATAGAGTACCAGAGACAATAGACTCTGATAAAGGTCCCCACTTTACATCAAAAATAACTCAGGAAGTGGCAGAAGCATTAGGAATAAAGTGGGAACAACACACCCCTTGGCACCCTCAAAGTTCAGGGAGAGTAGAAAGGATGAATGGAGAAATAAAGAAGCAACTTACTAAGCTAGTAATGAAAACAAAACTATCATGGATTAAGTGTGTTCCACTAGCCCTTCTGAATATTCGAACCCAGCCAAGGGCAGATTTGGGAATTTCCCCTTTTGAGATGTTATACGGTATGCCCTATAATATAGAAGAAGTTCAAACACATCCAAATGTGAGTGATCAATACATCAATGAGTATTTGATAAAAATAATGAAGTTTAAAAAGGCATTGTGGGAAAAAGGGATGCTAGCTCAAAGACCACCATTGGATTTTATATTACACCAGGTACAACCCGGAGAGTGGGTGCTGATAAGAAGTTGGAAAGAAAATCCCCTAACACCGAAGTGGGAGGGGCCGTATCAAGTCTTACTAACAACTGACTCTGCAGTTCGAACAGCGGAAAAAGGCTGGACACATGCGAGTCGAATAAAAGGACCTGTGAGACCACCAAAATCTAATAACTGAGAAGTGGGGAGCCCGGCTGGGGACTTGAGACTTAAGATATCCCGAACAAAATAACATCCCAGAACTATTAATTGGCTTAGAAACTTATGAATAATAAATTACATAGAGGCTTTTATATAGAATATAAGATACCTCCATCTAGTGGTGAGGAAATATATAATAGAGGTGTTAAAATAGGCTGTACGTTATGCCAAAATTGTTACCCTTTTGTCTGTTTTAAATGTATAATATGTAAAGAACTCTGGTGGACCCACTGTCATAGAGGCTACCCACCAAGAGGCGTGTGTAGCTCTTGCTACACTGCCCAGAGGGATCTCACTGATTGGGCTCTAGTAACTAGAATACAAGCAGGAGAATTTGAAAAGGGATCAGA